CTGTCAATGAATTACCACCGTCGAGCACTGAAAGAACAAAATCACTGAACAGATTTTCTTCTGCAGCGCTCCTCTCTAAAGACATTACGAATCAGAACTTTAATATGATCTTTATTTTAGTGAAAAATCCTGCCTTAATCCGCCAAAGGTCTATTCTTGGATTTTATTTCACCGTCCTTGAGAGTGTCTTTTTGTTGCTCGGGGAATCTGTGGTCACGGCTTACTGGGCAGAGAAGACTGGATTTTTAATGGAATTTTCAAAACTTTGCATTTAAAAGTAATTTTTTTTGCTTCGAACAAGACAACTGAAACTTTGGATTGACAACAAGATTTGCAACAACAGGCTCCAGTGGGGTAGTTTGTCAGAGGACTGGCCTGCTGTGTCACAAATGTGTAGTGAAAGGCAAGTTCCAGCTATCAATTAGCACAAGGTGAGTTCCTTATCATATCTAGGGCTATCTGAGGACACACTGACTGGAGGTAATGTGATTTCCTTGGAGGATGTGAATAAGACGGGAGATTGTATTGCTTTTGTGCACCCTGTGTTGACCACTTCAGAGCAGCAATGGGAGTTTGAAAGTACATTGCCTGATTGGTGTTCAACTCCAGGTGCTCCGAAGAGCAAGGTTTTGACGTATTAATGTAAGGTTGCCCAAAATACCATATTTAAATGTCCTGATTTAAAGCACATTTTGAAAAAAAAAACAATGCAAAAAAATCTAGTTAATTGAACTGTGCTGCCGGTTCATGTTGAATCCTCAGATGCCCTGATCTCTCCCTTACTAGTTGTTTGTATATCCTGCTAAGCAGTCCACTATTCGAAGTAGAACTGGTAAACGGCTGTGTAGCCAACTGCAGCCATGCATTATACTACTGAAGGTCTCTTAACTACATCTGCAACTAACTGACAAATCTGGAGCATTCATTGGGAGTCTCTGGTTCAATAGACCCTGTGGATTCAGTGCATTCAGTATTACCACTTGAGCAGCACTATATGATGGTACACTACTGCTACTAGCATGAGCATCATCTGATTGCACCTATGGCACCTTCAAGCATATCAAACGTATAGCAGTGGAGGACACCTCCTGAAGATGTCCCATCATTTTTGGGAGCCTAGAGCGATGGACATTGCTGATGTTTTAAATTCCCTCGGCCTTGGTTGCAACCATTCTCTAACAGGTATGAAGCAAGAATGACTGGATCTTAAAGATTTGATCAAAATGCCTCAAAAGAAGGATTCAGGAATGATCCTCGTATTCTACCAATGCGTAAGGCACGTTTGTTTCACTGCGGGCATCGCTGGATTTGCCGTATCTTTAATGTCAGTTTGCTGAGCAGACAAGCGATGCTCCATTTGATCAATTATGTGAGGAGAAAGCACTGCATATATGACTGTTGGAATCTTCACTATCCAGACCACCTTCCAATGCCCTCTGAGAGAAGGCAAGTTAGTGCAATACGACAACAACACAACAACAACCTGCATTTATACAGAGCTCCTCAAGTAGGGTAGTGTCTCAGAGCGCTTAACCTTGTTGCACTATCATTTTCCATGTAATCCCCTGCAATCAGTTGGGACAAAAAGCCTACTAGTTCTCTGCCACTCCACATCTCCCACTACTCACTAATGCTCAGTGCTTAACTCTGGCCTTTCACAGTAATCAAAATGCCCCCACAGTGTAGCTATGTATCTGTGCTGTTGCTTGTTTCAAATAGGAGGTGGCTTTGATTCATGTTCTGGTGTGCAGTGCTCCCTTTCTGTGGCACAGAGTCCACTGGATTCTCCTTCTGTGGAGAGAGTAGATGGTACATCATCAGTTCAAGTGTAGAGTTATCCATTTGAGAATTGCAATGGGCCACTAAACTGCTCTGACCCAACAGCTGGGTTGTCATGACATGTACTGTACACATGTACTCTAATGCAGTTTTGTGCAATCAGTGGCTATTGATGTATCCTTATGTTGTATAAGAATTCATAAAATGGAGTCTAGGCAATAATTTGTAATGGAATTCCTTAATCAGGAAATCGAGTGGTGGATTCTTTTTGTTAACTATTAATCATTACACATGTTAAGCTGACTTGCAGAAATCTAAATTATGTTCCTGTGAATTGCTGTGATGTGCTCCCAGATCTTTAACAAGGAATCCTATTAGAATTCCTGTCAATTTGAGGAAAAGTATTCTGTCCGAGGAAATTTCTCACGAATCAGTATGTCATACTTTTGATTACGGGATGAACACCATGCTATTCGGATTCCTTACAAGGAATCTTGTTAAGAAATTCCATAAACTCGGCCCAAATATTCTAACCAATATGGTACCTACACTTTACATGTTCCTCTTCTGCACCATCCCTATGCATTCCATGCTTTCCTTCCAAAGCACATCTGTTGGCTTCTGTGCTCTTACATTATGTGCAGTGTTTCCTTTGAATACAAGGAACAGCCTTCATTGAAACAGGGTGCTGTGGCCTAGGCAAAATCTTCACTGCACTTCAATGCTCTTAAAAGTACAGGCACAGACATGATGGGCCCAGTGGCTTTTGTCTGTGCTGTGTATTTCTATGCTTCATTCACCCTTCACTCAGACTGTTTTCATTGTATCACAATTTGCATGGCCCTGATACTTTAATGTTTACCACCTTCCTTTCAATATTATTGCTATCGCTTCTCTGGGAGGGAAAGGGATAACACCCTTCACATG